CTCCCATATAGTAAATAAGTACTTCCAAAGTAGTACTCCCAAAGTAGTCCTTACAAAGGAGCACTTCTATAGTAGTACTCCTAAAGTAGTACTGCCAAAAGAGTACTCTTATAGTAGTGATCCCAAACTAGTACTCCTACATTAGTACTCCCAAAGAAGTACTCCTAAAAGAGTTCTCCTAAAGTAGTACTTCCAAAGTAGTACTCCCAAAGAGTACTCCCAAAGTAGTACTCCTAAAGAGTACTCCCAAAGTAGTACTCCCAAAGAGTACTCCCAAAGTAGTACTCCCAAAGAGTACTCCCAAAGTAGTACTCCCAAAGTAGTACATGTAAATTAATACTTCTAAAGTGGTACTCACAAATGAGTACTCCTAAAGTAGTACTCCCAAAGTAGTACTCACAAAGGAGTAATCCCAAATAGTACTCCTATAGTAGTACTCCTAATGTAGTACTCCCAAAGTAGTACTCCCAAAGTACTACTCACAAAGTAGTACTCACAAAGGAGTACTCCCAAAGTAGTACTCCCAAAGTAGTACTCCTAAAGTAGTACTCCAAAAGTAGTACTCCCAAAGTAGTACTCCAAAAGTAGTACTCCCAAAGTAGTACTCCCAAAGTAGTACTCCCAAAGTAGTACTCCCAAAGTAGTACAGCCAAAGTAGTACTCCCAAAGTAGTACTCACAAAGTAGTACTCGCAAAGTAGTACTCCTAAAGTAGTACTCACTAAGTAGTACCTACAAAGGAGTACTCCCAAATAGTACTCCTATAGTAGTACTCCTAATGTAGTACCTCCAAATTAGTACTCCCAAAGTAGTACTCCCAAATTAGTACTACCAAAGTAGTAGCCTACTATTAAAGTAGTACTTTAAATGTAGTACTCCCAAAGTAGTACTCCAAAAGTTGTACTCCCAAAATAGTACTCTCTAAGTAGTACTCCCAAAATAGTACTCCTAAAGAAGTACTCCAAAGTTGTACTCCCAAAATAGTACTCCCAAAAGAGTACTCCCAAAAGAGTACTCCAATAGTAGTACTCCCAATGTAGTACTTCCAAAGTATTACTTTCAAAGTAGTACTTCCAAAGTAGTACTCCCAAAGTAGTACTCCTATAGTAGTTATCTTAAAGTAGTACTCTTAAAGTAGTACTCCTAAAGTAGTACAGTCAAAGTAGTACTCCCAAAGTAGTTTTCCTAATGTAGTACCCCCAGAGTAGTAATTCTAGAGTAGTACTCTCAAAGTAGTACACCCAAAATGATACTCCTAAATTAGTACTGCCAAAGTATTATTCCAAAAGAAGTGTTCCCAAAGTGGTACTCCGAAAATAGTACTCTTAAAGTAGTACTCCTGAAGTAGTACTGTTAAAGTAGTACTGTCAATGTAGTACTCTCAAAGTAGTACTCCAAAAGTAGTACTCCCAAAATAGTATTCCTAAAGTGACAAACAATTCCAGGTCTGTGTCCAACAGAGTAGAGGGGTTTTTTATTGAGTATACTGTGATAGATTCAGGTGTTTCACACTACAGGCTGGCTACCTGTGTCCTTAAAAGCATTTTCCCTCCTCTCCCTTAAAATAAAAAAAAATACCTGGAAAAACTTTGTATTTGGTTTCTAACGTCGAAATGTCTTTACTTAAGTCTTTCTTTAGCTTGATAGAAGTCTTTAACTCAAGGGGTTCAAAAGTTAAGGATAAATTTCTAAAAATCACATACAGACTCAGAAAACCAGACATTTTAAACAAAATGTTTATGCGACTTTTTTAATGTTTCGACCTAGGACACAACTTGTGTCGACATCTTTATGATATACAATATGCCTTCTTTATGTTATAAAATGTATACAGGGTGATAAACTCAAGGAGGCCACCATTGGGATATCAGAAACGGCAACAATTAGAGAAAACTTTAAATGGGGGACATTCCTTTATTTTTGGTGGGAGTTTAAAATATGATTTTGGTTTTTCAAAATTCAGCCGCCATTTTCCAAAATGGCGGCCAACTTTGAAATTTCTTACGGAACACCCTGTATTTTATCATGTTTTCGGATAGAACATGCAATTTAAACACTTGTTTATAATTGACATTTTTTCGATAAACCCACTCGTTTAGGAGTTACAGCCTATGGAAAAATTACTTCCGGTGTACATTTTACATCATGTAGCACCAAAAAAAGTAAGTTTATAGCGAAAATGCGAAGAGAAAATAAGTCAAATAAGTCATAAAATTGCATCCACATTCCAAAGAGTCCATAAAATTCGTTAAAAATATGAATTCTATTATTTAAAAATGGCGGCCATTTTCCAAAATGGCGGCAAACTTGAAAAATGGAAAACTGTGTATTTTATGGTCTTAATGAAATGTGGATGCAATTTTAAGACTTATTTGACTTATTTTCTCTTCGCATTTTCGCTATAAACTTTTGGAGCTACATGATGTAAAATGTACACCGGAAGTCATTTTTCCATAGGCTGTAACTCCTATACGAGTGGGTTTATCGAAAAAATGTCAAGTATAAACAAGTTTTTAAATTGCATTTTCTATCCGAAAACATGATAAAATACGGGGTGTTCAGTTAGAAATTTCAAAGTTGGCCGCCATTTTGGAAAATGGCGGCTGAATTTTGAAAAACTAAAATCATATTTATATCTGCCACCAAAAATAAAGGAATGTTCCCATTTTAAGTTTTCTCTAATTATTACCGTTTCCGATATCCCAATGGTGGCCTCCTTGAGTTGATCACCCTGTATACATGCGTATATCAGGTAAATCAACTCCAGTTTGTTCGCGTTAGTGTAAAAAAGAGATAAAGAGACACCACCAGCTGATTGACATCTGAGCACAATAAATGTCGGGTTAAATAACGGCCGATGTAATTTGAAACTATATTTAACCTACAGTTACTCGTAAGCGGAATACTTTGGTTCTTGATTTTTCTGCCGATGTAACATTATAGTGGTTAACACAAATTATAGAGTAATTAGGATAACACTTTGTAAAATATCGTAGAAAAGCTATACTTAAATGTATTTTTCCATCACTTTGTTGGTTATAATAATTAATTAATTCAAGCAAAATGATAAAGCAAATAAACGAAAAATCTGCGATAATAGGCTATGTATGCCTACAGAGAAACATGCTCGTCGATTTATTTATCTCTTTTACTATATAGACTCATATTCTTAACTCAACAAATAATTATTTATGTTTCCTCGTAATGACAAGGTGTTAAAACTCATTGTTCATTGTTTCCTTTTTTCGACGCATATTTATATATTTTCACATATTATACCTACGTTTAATATGAGCTAGCTGTTACCCGTCGGCTTTGACCGATATAGTTTTGTGTTTTATTAGTACTAAGATCCCACTAAGGCTAAAAATGCCTTTTGCATTAATTTACTGTCTAACTGTCCTTTTACCAGGTGCTTCAAATTACTCCCACTGGAATAACCTGCATAATGTTTTCGCCAAATTCCCGTTTCTTTTACTTAGAGTTATTATAGGCCTACCCTTAAACTGAATTTGAAGACTATTCCAACTATTATTTCGATATGAATGTGTTGGGGCTATGGGTGTAGCTTCGTTATAAGACTGTCTTCCTTTTAAAAATATATTTATTGATATTTAAAATATCAGTGACACGATACGTGTGTTCTTTGAACAAAACACTGTGAAAAATAAAATTTTGTACGTTAAAAAAGAAAGACGAATTTCTTAACATGTTAGGCCTCTTATTTGTGTGGTGCGTGTTACTACCTACACAAACAATGGCTTCCATATTTTATCAAGTTAAATATATCTGTAAAATCACAAAAATGTTTAGCACTTACTGAATAAAAGATCTTGATGACGTAACTCCATCAAGTTTGTAGTTGTAGTTGCAAAATCACCAGCCATATATTATTATATTATTATATCTAATTTTATATGGGATCTTTTATATATGGGTCTGTGCATGAAATATTTTAAAATATTTAAATGGTTAAGAGGTTTTGGCTAACATCCATGACTTACGATAGTTAATGTTAACGACAAAAACCAAAAAAAAACACGTTTTTACTTGTAATTAATTTTTCACTTTATACTTTTACAAATAAGTTAAATTGTTGTTAAATTTATTTAGGACCCAATATTTTAATCATGCACATTTTCATTTTTACCAAACGTGTTTTTAGAGAAGGATTGGGTTTTTTTTTCAAATTGATAGCGATTTTAAGTTTTGCACATAGTTCTATTTATAACGGATGTTAAAAAATACAAATATTTTCGAATTACCATTACAAGTTTGGCTATTGAAATACCCAATGATTAGAAAGTTTATAACCATTTTCCTAAAAATTTTCCTTATCTAAACATTTTATGAATAATATAAAATCCTATTTCTCAACTACACTGAAGATATTCAGAGAGAATTAGATTTTGTGATTGCCCAAGGTGCGGGCTTGTGCTCAACCTTGCTCGTCCCTTTATTGAAACTTCTGGGCTTGACATTTTAATTTTCTTTTGTGAAAGAGGGATTTAAAGGCTGTTTTTGAAAGTTTTATGCATAAGGATAAGTTGACATAATCCCTTTCTTATTGCCTTACTTTAGAGACTGTTTTTAGCGTTTCAAAAAAGCAATTTTGAAAGGATACAACAACCCATCAGACATTTACGTCATGATTAAAAAATGAGAAAGTAAACACAATTAATCGGTGCCTACATTATGGATCTTAATTATAATTTATTTATTTATATGTGTTTTTGCTACTAAAAAGATTTTTTTACTTGATACTCTACAGATGGATCAATTAAACATTAGGATGGATATTAATTTCTCAAACAATTTATTTTGGATCTTAGTATCTCCAGGTACTGTACCTTTATGTCTATCTGAAAATTCCATAATTTCCTTACTTAAATATAAAAAATAACTTACTTGAGCAATACTTTACACTTAAATATTCCTTTAATTGGAGAATTTTATATCAAGACCCCCAAGGGATCAATTACAAGACTAAAACATTTTTTAGTAAATTTATTATCCTAATATATACAATAATATTACATAGAGAATACATTATATAAACATATAGAAATACACATTAGATATTGTCTAAAATACGTGGGTGTGATATGTTAGGATCAGAAGGAAGGTTTCATTTGGATGCAGATGGTGGAAGAAGTATACTTAGAAAACAAACGTCTCTACTGAGAAGAATAATGATTAGATGGTAATACAATTTGTTTGTATTTTATTTAACGGCAAAACTCTGAATACACAGTAATTTCCAATAAACTTAATTTGATGGGTGCCGTAGTAGTATTAAATACAAAAATAATTAAGTCCTTTGTTTCACATTTTATTCATAATCAAAAGAATAATTTGTTAGAACATTACAACTGATTAAACAAAACATAGTATGTATTTTATACATTTTACATTTGCAACAAAATTATATAAAGTTCAAATGTATTGTGCTAAAATTAAAAATAGCTGTTTAAATTTCATAACTGACTCTTAAATTGTTTTGCAGTTAAGATTTGAGTTCTAAATATAACCACTAAACGGTATCCTTAAATGTACACCACTTTTAAGAAAATTATTAAACAGCCTTTTACATTTTGAAAAAGAACTAAAAGAAATATCAATAAATGATCCCTTAGATAAATATTGTTTGCAAAACAACGATCAATGTTTAAAGTTTCTTCTTCATTGTCTCCTTGATTTGTTTAACTTGAATAAAACATCAGTTTATTTGAAAACGAGACAGCTTTCTAGATATAATTCAATATATTTTCAAGTTGAAGTAAATAGTCATTATAAATAAATCCATACAATTTCTTTTACATACGCTTTACATTATAACTTTGCTTATACTTCTATAAAATTTCTTGATATTTCTTAAGTTTAATAATTAAGGAAAGTTAAGGAACTTTGATAAAGCTGATTTAATGTGGAGCATTTTGTGTAATTCAATTAAAAATTTAATTTGTAACTTAAATGTCTTCTTAACACCCCTAAATGGGCTCTGATATGAATCTTCGCTTAAAATTAACTTTATAGGCCTGTTCAAAATCCTTTAAACACATCCTTGTGTTTATTCGTATCCCTAGGACGGTTGTTTATATAAGTAATGATAAGACTTTCTTGTTTCATACGGGACTCCTCCGATAAATTAAATTTGGACTAAAGAGTGAACAATTACAACGTTGAACAATGTATGAACAGGTAACAGCCTAGGTGGATCTTCTTGCAAGTATTTTAGGCCGCTATGTAGACAATGTTAGGTATTATACGACGAATATGTTTGGTTCTCAACATCTAAGGGCACTTATAGCAATTGGTAATGGGGATACTGAATTATTATTCTGACAGTTGCCATGATTGTTATGACACAAATAGTCATAAAAACCAGATGTTTAATGTGAATATTATTTTTTTTCTGAAATAAAAGGTAGAGAATAAAAAAAATTTACAGCAAATACAAGTAAGATATTTGAGCGAATAAAAGAGTCGCTTACTTTACAGTTTTGCTATTTGCAGCTTAACGCAAATTTGAAAAGGCTCGTTGATTATAAAAATGGTTTTGTATTAACCCCCCTGTCACCATGTTTTTAAATAAAAATTTACTAATATCGTAAACCATTTAGAAAAGCAACAAATATATGTTTTTAAATCGACTGCATACCTTAAAGTTCTTATAAATATTTTTAAAAAACTTTAAATTTTAAAAATATAATACAAACTTAGCTATATCTATTTTACAGTTTGAGAGTACATGTGGGACAGTTTGTATTCAATACTATGACTCATCGCCATGTTGTATTATATTTTGTGAAAAACCCCTGATTAAGAAGTATATAAAACACATTCGAATTAGTTAAACATAGAAATCTATAAAAACATGCATCTTTATAAAATATTTAATACACAAAACAAGATCATCCATACAGTGATAGTAAATTTGTTGAACTGCCTGCATTTTGAATTGGACTCACAAGATATACAGTAATCTTTATTTTTAAATTTCATTTTATTTGTGTTACAGAGACATTAAAGATAACATTAAAATCGATAGATTTACATCCTGGAAATCGTGGCTTGGAAAAGCTTTTCTACGATGTAGACAACTCTCATATTAACAGACAGTATTTACAATACCGCACAGCGGCCAATACATTCTTATCTATCCTACTACATACAAAATATAGCCGACGTCTACGTATTAAAATATATGTTGGTCTCTTTGGCAAACAAAGGTAAGAAATTCTTTCATGGTATTTTTTTAGGTTTGGGCTTCTAAGTATGGCTTATACTTCCACTAGCGGGAAAGGTTTTAAGATCCGTCAATATTTACGTCATTATCAACTAAAACTCTTTTTGTCGATAAAGCTATGGATATCCCCTTGGATTTTATTCCTTATAGCTTAGATTACCTTAAGGTAGACATAAAATACAGAACTTATAGTGATTTAAAACCTCTAGTATCGTAGGAAGACACAGATACTTCTATATTATAAATGTGGACAATTACTAAAAACTGTTTTTAGTACTGAAAAATGTTCCATATTTGAAATTGTTTATATGTATTTAGCAATTTCGTTACTTGAAAGTATATTTCCTTGATTACCTGACTAAAAATCAAATAAACTCTGAAGTCTTTTTAAGTAAATTTTCTCTATAACAAAACAAGACTTTTAACCTTTTTTCAAGGCTTAGCTTGATATGGATTTGCAGGTGGATATGCATTCGAGGTTATCTCTCCTAATAATTCGCAGCTTAATTATTCGTTTCTTATTGAATCCCTATTCGTTAAGTGACTTGTTATTGGTCTTATTAGTGGAATCCATAGATCAAGATTAAAATATATATTGTTTTATTTACAAATTATCCTAAGAGTTTCAAAACATAGATTTTTGTTTTAATCCCATCAAATGCCTATGTTACATGATAAAAAAAACGGTTACTAAGACTGGGGGGAAATCCGAACAATCATTTTTATGACTTAAACAAAAGTATAATGACAGGCAATCAAGCCACGGAGGAGAATTGGCAACAGCGAATCTTATACTTCCTACATAGGTAGATCAAGCGATGATGTTGGTCTTAACGTGATTGATTGCTGGCCTGCGTTGCAACGTTGCCAAACTTCCGTCAGTCTCTTCAGCTCCCTGTGGTGTTCGTCCCATCTCTTCTCTGCGATAGTTTCCAAATCACTTTGCTTTCTTCTACAGTAGCCGTTCCATCTCTTCGCTAGTTTCTTCGCTGCTGTCGTCACTATGGTGATGAGGTACTAACATACTTTCGTCCCCAGACCAGTGTTCAAACTCCTCTTTGTGATGTTCCAAGGCCATCAAAGTCTGGAAGAGACTATCGCACGCTGAACACCTGCAATGCAGAGGGATTAAAACATAGCTTATGTTGAGAAGTGGACTAATATATATATATTTATACTTATATAAGTATATATATATACTTATATATAGTGTGTGTATGATTTGGATAGTTTAAACATCGTTTTGATTTATCGGAAGACGCCCTAGGCGTTTTTCAAATAGTTACTTATAAAATAATTGATTTATTTATATGTTTACAAAAACAAAAACACTTTTGGTTCAAGTGTTCAGATAAATAATAAGAGTTCGAGATCGAGGGTTGATTTGTAATAAATAATTTGCTTTACTTTTATGAGTTCATTATATTGACAGGATCCAAAATCAGAATACCCAAAGCTCATATTTCAGATCCCAAGATCCAAAAATATTAGCTCACTAGGCCGAAAGGATGTTTCTTTATATCCTATGATCAGAATATCCAAAAGTATATTTATTACCAGAAAAAAAAACATTCTCAATTTGAAGGTAACCTTTGAAAGATACTGTCATTTGAACATTGTATCTTGTGAAACTGGTGATTGAAAGAAGATGAAAAATTAATCAATAGCTCCAAAGATGAGAAGATGAATAAAAGTATGAATAGTTGCGTCCCTCAGATCGAAGGACTATAATGCTACTGAACCATATATTTTGCATTAAGGTAATTTACTGTGTGGCTACTGTGTAAATTCCATCAAAGATTGTGTGGCTATTCTTCAAAACACTGTTTGGGTTATCGACAAAGATAAGTCCAATATATCAAAAAGGAAAAAAGTCACAATGTTTTTTTTTAGTATATGTGTAACTTTAATCATGATACATTTAACACCTTTTTTACACCCTATATACAATATTGTGCTGACCATAATTTTATTTTGAGTTTTTACTAATCAAGTTGTTATTTTTAAACAGTCGCTAAACCAAGAATCTAATGACATGATGTAGTCCCAAAAATTTATCAGTTAGTTCCTTATAATGCAATTTCCTTGTTTCTTCTGGTAATCCTATCATGTGAATTATTAGAATAAATTGACTTTAAACGATTTTTTCTTCACAAAACCCACCCAAAATGCCTCTTTTTCTGCTGGTGTTGTGACAACGCCCTGGCGCTGCTGAAACTGCGATCACAAACATTACACGTCAGAGCCTCGTCTGCAACAAATTTGGATAATTACAAACTTTGAAAGCTATGGTAAACAGTATGTATATATAGCCCATTAGAGCCATTACATGTCTATGTATTTAAGATAGAAAATACCCTATGTCTAATTCCAAGTTGAAAATCAGCGATGTTTCTTAATCGTTATGATTGCTACTGCATCAGGTATTCAAAGACTACCAAATCTTGGTTTTTCAAAAATTTTCGGGTATTAAAAATAAAAAAATATACCTCAAAGTACAAAAATACGTCAAATAACACTTGTAATAGTATATGCACGTGTACCAATAGATCTAAAAGATTCGCCAATTGGGTGAAATAGATCACCACTTACAATATTTTATATGTATTTACCGTCTTATGAGTAAACAGAATAAATGTAAATATAATATTGCAATTGTTATATGACGCATTTTTGTACTGTCTAGACATTTAATAACACCTACGAAGCTGTTTAAGAAGTTATTAAATTAAAAATATACTAAACGAAGTTTCTGGTCATTCCAGTTAAATTTTACTTTTAGCCTAAAATATAGATTTTTGCAATACATGTAATATGTCAGACACTGTTTTTGCCAGTTGAATGACATGGTATCTTCTCGAATACTATTAATCGGAAATCATTCAGTTTACTAGTAAAGATTCCGTAAAGATAATTAAAGCTAAACCTTCAGCAAAGAGACCCTGAAAAAAATAAGTCACATTTGTACGTCGCTAGCAGATCACCAGTTAAATTGCCTATGCATATCCCCACCTAACAACGCTGTAGAGGACTGAATATTAGATAACTGCTGTAAATATTATTAAATTGTTTTGTCATGGGCCAATAACTGAACATTTCTCCAACTTTTTTCAAATGCCAGACATATTTTTACCCATGAGATCACAACCTAGGTTCTTCCATCCTGTTCACTCTTACAACGAGGACTTACCCGTTAAGATAATAAAAAACTGTCTAAGCATGTACCTAATAACTCTATAATACCTCAATTTACATATGCAGTACTCCTCACATTAATATTCTGTACCATCACATTTATAATCATTTTCATATGAAGAAAACAAAGTTCTTTGAAAAGTATGAATATTTCTAGATCTGTAATTCTTTCATAAATATATTTAGGAAAACACTGATACGATTTGTTTAAAATAAGAGGCAATGACAAAAAAGTTATGATGTATGAATTTACTTAAAACATTAATGACTTAACAATTTATGTTCAGGTGAATTTATATACTATACATTTAGTTCATTAATGTAAGCACGGTTGAGTTGAAGTCAGAGTGTGGGATTTATGTTTCAGGAACCAGGGTTCAATTCCCACCAAAAACAATGATTTATTTGTCTTTCAATGATTTTTTTTTTAATTTGTCTATGCATATTGGTCTTTTATGAATCTGTTGTTCTATTCCCTCCTTTATATATATTTCCACCTAATAGACCAACTGAGGAAGATGTGTCATAGTCTCGAATAACTCTTTTCACTAAGATAAATTTAATATTTAAAATCCTTATTCAATATTTCAATACAAAAGAATTAGATAACGAAAGTTTGTCACTTTTGTCGGGGTTTAAATCGACGAAAATTCAATAGACGTCAGTTGAGATCCAACGATTGTGCTCAGCGACAATGGCCCTTTGATAAATCAAGCTCTTAACTTGTGGAAAACTTTATAGGATCATGACGCTCTCAGAAATCATCTTTATCCTATCATTCACAATTCACAACTTTCCACTTAACTAACATCCTCAGTGTACAATGTAAATCATGCTAAATACTGTATGTTTGTAAATAATAAATAAATAAAAAGGTCTTTATTAGCAAGCATTTTGCAGAAGAATACATTCTGTTTTTCAAAACAACTCTTGTCCTTAATCCTAATAAACTATACATATAAAACAATCTATATAAATCTTCCACATCTTCCTTGACACATAAGGTTGTCAACAAATTCACGATTTACCAAATTAAATCACCAATGTGCAAATTATTAGTATTAACATAATGTATTAATTAGGTTCAAACTACTCTTTCAACTTTAGTTTTACAAAATAATACTATAATTTAAAGAAATACTGTAATTTCAGCTAATAGAGAGAAGATTTTAATGATAAAAAGCTGGTTTTAATGTTATAGTCTTATTCGTATCATTCGTGTAAACATAACTTATATTTGAAATTATTTTTGACAAACTGACTGTAGTATTCATTTTTGCAATTTCACTAGAATTACCACAACCATGAGTGTAAAATTGTTATACTTCAGTAAACTAATAATCAGCTTCACATTCCTTGCCATAACCTCATAAGTAAAAATATTTCAGACAAATATTGTTGTCAGTTGTAAAGAGTATTATGTGTTATGAGTTTGTTATTTTTTATTTCCACATTTACTGTAGTTGTCAAGTGAGTGTTAAACGAGTAAAATGTTAAGTGAATTACAATATTATATTTTATTATAATTTTAAAATTTTTTGGTATGCAAGATTCAACGAAAATCAAAATAATGTCGATTGAAACCATTGTATTTTTTTAGTAATGTAATCATTAAAATTAAATTGAAGAATTTACTATGAATAATTTTTATATTAATACAAAGTTGTTGTTAGTGTCTTATTAACAAGAGTGCAAAGACATTGATGTAAAATAAGGTAAAAAGAAGCTATTGAAGTACAAACGCATAGCATTTGCAGCCGGTAAAGGCAGAATACGTTTACGGTAAAGAGATTTCCAGATTGTAAGAGCAGACGCGATGCGACTACAAAATGAGATTTTATTTCTCAAGATAGCACAGTGGGTTTGACATTTGAGAAACTAATTTGAATTCATCATTTCGTATGGTATTGCGTTTAAATTTGGATTATAAAATAAATTACTTTAATTTGGAAACCACTTAACGATGGCCTGTTTTTTTTTCAAATAAAAATATTGAGTAAACTGATTACTCTTTTCAACGTTAAAAAGGGAACGTTTTCATACATAACCAAGACATTATTCTATTTAATTCTTGCAACAAACTAAGAGTAAAATATTCATACAATTGTATAGCTTGATTTTCAATTTTTCCCAAATCAACGTGGTTACCAAACTATAGATTCTGTAAAGCTAAGGGTGTCACATTTGTAACCAGGGGGTAAATTGAATATACAAATACCATGTACAAAATGTGTTAAAAGCACGGCCACCTTTAACTCCAGGCCGCGGCCTTCAAAGTGGCAAAATGGCAAGTAGTGTTGTAACAGGTATTTGGTTTGAAGGCAGCTAATGGTATTTGTGTATTGTTTAAGAATACGAAAGTTTGGTTAAAGGGTTATGAAAATATTAACTCCAGTTTAAATGTAGAACAATAGATTTTCAATTTAAAAATTGTTTTTGGGTTCAATTTTATAGGTTTTATTTTCAATCTTTTATTAAATTTGTGGTAATAAATTCAAATTTGAATGAATAATACGCAAATTATTGAGATGATACCACATGTCCACCATGCTATCTTATGGGACATCTGGTGCTAGAAACACTACTTGCAACGTTGCCAATTCTACCAGTCCGCGGCTTGGAGTTAAAGGTGGCCGAGGTTAAAACAGTGTATGGCATCAAAAAATAAATAAACCGAAATTTTCCCCAAGAGAAAAATATGTCTTGTGTTTAAGGTCTTTCAAAACTGTTTAAACATTTTTTTCTAGCAAGCAGTGTCAAATCTTTTAAATTTTAAGGGAATTTTTATTGAAAAATAAATACTAACACAAATAACGAGAAAACAACAAGCACAACATATTTTATATTTTAATTTGAATAGGGATAATCCTAATCGACAGAGAGTAAGCTGGTCTAAGATAGAGTGCAAGGCTTCGAAGCTTGAAGTCCCGGATTCAAATCCTGCCAATGAGTTTTATCCATGTGATGATATCTTAACCCTCTAGGACTACCATGAAGTAATGTGTTAACAGTTGCAGGCTGAACCTAACGTCCTAGAATGTGAAGATGGGTCTAAGCAATTCAGAATTTAACACTTCACAGCACTCGCTATTTATATGAAACCAAAAACAAAACAAAAGAAACAAAACAAAACATAATATTTTAGTGCATTTCAACCACACGACGTTAATACCAACATAAATTCATTTTTTCTCCTACCCTTGTATGGAAATGATCACATTGACACTCCTGTAAACAGTACGCAAAATATCTCTTTTGTGCTTTATTCATTCCCGCCCGCTAAATCAGCAGATCTCACTGTTGGTGTTTTTACAAAACACTTACATCTGATAAGCAAATAGCATAACAAAAAAAGGAAGTATAACCTAAATGGCATTTTATATAGCCTACAACTAAACGTTTTATCTTTGTGTTATGATAAGTTAGTTGTAGTGCTTGAAATGGCGAACGTGAATGGTGTATTTTCGGTCCTAATACACAAATAGCTATTTAAGTTTCACATTATAGTTTTACTTACCGTACTCCGAGTCGTCAGAAAACTCGTCCTCTTCCTCCAGATCAAAGTCGCTCGCACTACTGGACTCTGAACTTTCCCCCACCCCACCACCACCTCCACCGTGCACTGATGACGTCAACGGACTAACCAGGTTGTTGAGGTTGGCGTTCTTGTGGTCTGCAGAGGCGTCCTCCCCACTCGACAACTTGTTGTATCCGGATTTCTTACTGGCACCTGAAATATAATTAATTAGTTACAAGTGGCTTTTTATAGAGTTTAGCCGGGATTTTGACATGTTCAGACTAGATAGAGTTTGCGGAGTTATAACTGGATAAAATACATTGGTGACCGGCGGGATTTGAGCCTGGGACCTCTGGGATGTAAGTTACCACTGGACCAGCTCGATTCCTTAGTCTATAAGATAGTCAATGTGTACAAACGATTTCAACCACCCAAAAAAATAAAAAACTAATATAACTTATATTTTTGCAATACTCATAGCAAGGAAAAGAACAAGCAAATTGTATAAATTAACTCTAATGAAGCATGTCTTAAATGCATATACTAAATTAACCCCTAAATTAATGGAGTAGACATGTCTATTACTTTAATCTATCCTGAAACCGAAAGATTTATACCAAAAACATTATGAGAACTTAAATGCTTCATGTAACAATAAATAAACAATGATTTTAAAAAAATTACAAAAGTCTTTAGTGTTATGGGTGTAGACTTATAGGTGTAGTTGAAACAATATGTTGGCCTAGTTAAATTTAATCAAACAATATTTTCTTTTTATACGAAAATTTTAAATTTTGATTTCAGCAAATTTTATTTGAAATTACAAAGACTAGTGAATGATAAACCTAGAAGGTATTTGGCAACCATCTGTGTTGATAAGAGGTAAAATTTGGATTTTTATGCTTGTTGGTCAGTTAAGAGCAAGTGGCGTTGTCTTATAAGCCAAGATAGGAGTCATGGTTTCACCATCGATTATTAACTACTCGTTGACTTGTGTTCTTTATTTTTCGTTGGTTTATAAAAATGCTACCGTCAATTTCCTTAATAAATCCTTGACTTCATGAAGAAGATGAAAAATGAAAACATAAGCATACGAGGCCTATCACTTTCATTATCACACGGTAAATTTGCTTATTGTACTACCTGAGCTGGTAGGTCACAAATGCACAACTAGGTTACGAGCAATTCACAGAAAATGTACTCTGGTTTCAAACAAAGAATTAAAAAGTAATTTATTAAAAGAAAAATAGAGTGAGTGATTTTCGTGGGTTTATCAAGATCAAGGTTTGTTGACGCACGTCTTGGATCTAATTCTCTTAAATAAATTATCATCTGTGTTGGCGAATGGTTCTATCCTACAAAACCTGTTTGGTATTTATGAACTTTTGAAGAGGTATATGTTATTTCTAAGGCCTGCTTTTTGACATCAATGGCATATTTTACTTTTTTGTAAGGGGTCGGTCTAAATCCTGATCCATCACATTCACAGGCATTACTTTCAACATGTTTGCGAAATCGAGAAGGTGTGCTTGTTACGAACATGTATCATACAGAAAACTTATGAAGCTGTTTATTGTCAAAAATGTATAGAGTTTTATTTTTTCCTGTAAAAGCTGTATCTTTTGGGTTTAAAAGACAAAACCAAATTGAAAAAATCTAAAATAAATTCAAGAAAGATTGTTCAAGAATAGTACAAACTGTAAAACTATAAACCATGCAAAAAGGTCATCTAAAGAGCAATCGATGATGGGATTTTAAACATTTTAAATAAACTAATAATTTAAATTGCAAGCGAAATCACACCATTATCAATACAATCACGGCTAAATACCACAATTATTTTAAAAAGTTCTTTAAAACCTCTTATGTTAAATACTCAACATACTAATATTCATGCAATGCAATGTATATGACCATTGCATTACTTTATACGATATAAAGAATGCAATTGTTAAAGTACATTGGAAGAAATTGTTAAAGGCTATTGAAAGCTGTAGACAAACTTTTAATGTGCAAAAAGAGAGTTGACTTGTTAATTTCACTATTTCCTTAAAAATTAAATCGATTCATAACTAAGTGTACTATAATTATCATACTTTTAAGGTTGACCTCCCTTATAATTTGCAGAAGTAAAAATAAATACGTAAATAAGTAATCTTTTATTCACTATACATCAAAGCCGTATATCAAAATATTATAATAAGTGTTATATAAGGTTTATCTGTATGGTTGCAAATATTTTTTTTAATAATTTAATTCAAAAGTGTAAAGACGTAGAATTGTATTTATGAAATTCAATATCGGTTCTGTTATAAAATCGTTGAACAACGTCCAACAAAGTTGAGCACCGTTTGTTAAAACCAAGAATATATTAATTTGAATTTCACGTCCAGACCATATCGGTTATTCACAGGAAACAATTACACGAATTATTTACAGATAAATTTAATTTATAATGTAAAAACTAGTATTAACCACTCAAATATTTGTCTGAGACAAAAGCAATTATTTCTCGGTATTCCACGACCAGATTGCTACATCAAAGAATTGTTTTAAAATACATTTATTTTTGAAATACAAAAAAAATGTGTATTTATTGCAATTGAAAATATTATCATAAAGTTTATTAATTTGACCAGAATGATGCAATTTGCGGAAAACCTTTAAGTTGGCTTCGTTGTAATTAAAGTAATTTAGTTTCATATAGCTTCAATTAAAATACTTAAGCCTATAGGTGCATATAGGTGCAAATTTAGAATGTAAAATTGTGTTCAGTTATATTTCGTAAATGTGATTACTCTACATCACATTTACTATACGAAATAGGTGTTGCAGAAGTGAAGTTGTGTGTTTATTTTTCCCTTCAAAAAATTAAGTTGTTGAATTTAATAGTGTAAAACAGAATTACATTTTACACAGAATACGAATAAATCAATATTGTTATTTCAAATATTATTTATACACTTTAAGTATTATGTTTCACTAAAAACCTATTTGGATAATTTAAAACTAATCAATTCTCCACACAATTACAAAATATTAGATACTATATAGATTTACTTAAAACACACCAAATACTCCAAAATTTTCAATAATCTTCGTTTATGATTTATAAACCCTTCATTAACTTTATTTATAATGTATTTTACACTCGTTTTATAGTGATATAGTTTAAAGATTCTTAATTTTGGTATGTTACAAAAAAATAAGTTAATTTTAACAGTTTCAATAATTTCTTTTATGGTTGCCTAACTAGATATTTTAGAATAAATCTACTGTTCTCTTAATCAGCCAAAACGTATTATTTATCAATAATATTAATTTGTGATACAGGTTTTTCCATGGAAAATTAAAAACAACTCAGTTAACTTAATTAATAACAAAAGTATGTATGATATTAGAGTAGATATAAAGTCTTATCAACAGAAAAATTTTAAAAATCCGTTTTAGCTATCGTTATATTTCATATTTCAAGTTAAATTTTAACAAACACCAGGTGGAGATTTTAATTAAAGGAAAAACCGAACACTTCCCCTCCCCTATCTCTGGAGATACCCTTCATTTTTTCACCCTCTCTTCTTCATTACTAAAATCACTCTTTCAACCCCTCATTCCAAATGGCACAATGGACTTTTCCATACCTCTCATATTTCCATTTTAGTAAATAAAATAAATAATTTTACCTCTTTTTTCATAAAGTAAATTGTCAAATCTTTTTTGTTATTTTGAGGTCTAAGGAGTCTAAATAGTAACAAACAGTAAACAAATTATCCTTACAAATTTACAAATCTTTGAGACAGTATAAGATCTACGAGTTTATTAAAAAATTCTTTTAATAAATTTAATATACATATAATCAATGTAATAATCATTAATATTTTGATATTTACAACAACATAAAAGATCTTTTTGACTACAACAAACTGTTATTTAAGTGTTAATTATAAGGAAGTTGTCTTTGAAGACAGTAAACGTAATTTGACAGCGAAAAGCTCTGCTGGAGTATCAGTCGAACTTTCCCAACTGTAATCTCATTCTGACACTAACAAAAAATGAGACTTATATAATTCAAATGATTTTTAAAATGAGATGTCGTAATCTTTTTTTGGTCAAATAGAGAAAAACTAAAAAATAATCCACAGTTTTCATGTTACAAAACTATCGTAATCGTTAAACTATAAGGATGTTTAATGGGTAATAGAAATTAAGGTTATTGATTTTGTAATCATAAAAAACCATTTTCAAAAGTCTAATTCCATTCAGAAGAAATGTATGACGATTCCATAGAATATGTCATTTCAATAGTTGGCACCTATGAATACTCTCGTATCAAAAATAGTGTGTACTTTAATCGATAATACATTAACAAATATAAATTGATTATATAAAAAACTTAGACGGTTTGAACGAAATTGTTGATTGGAAAAAGAACAAATAACAAACAAATTGTTGTGCGATTTAGAGTGTTCTATGCTGTGACAAACTTTCATTACGAGAAGACCTGAACATGTAGTTGTATTGAAATCTGTTACGCCATGTTACAAAACAAAGTAAAGGGTGTTACATTGATTGCTGATTGTTTAATACCGCGAAAAGATCAAATGCTGAGCGATTGAAATGTCGGACAATGTCCAATTATGGATAGGTCAATACAAACCTGGGTCAAACCTGCTGATCTTGTTTCGCAGAATTAAACCGTTGCAATAAATATCAGCGAATATCTTTTGAAAGCAATTACGATAATCACTTCAGTTAGTTTCTGTTTTATATCCCAAACGTTTTAAGGTGAATCATTGATACTATTTGGAATAAAGTAATATTGGTATGATTTGGTTTTGAAAACATAAATTCATTACAAAAAGTGCATTTATGATTATTGTGCAGTAAAATTAGGTAGCAATGTATTAGGATTGGTCTATTGAATACCACGATTATCCTATTGATAGATTTACCGAATCAAAACCCATAAAAGCAATAAAAACACATCAGCAGAACTTGTATATTGCTATCATTATAGAGTTGGTCACGTGTTGGTTTAACGTTTTCCATAGCTTAATCATTTTTTCTATTAGTTTAAAAGTTAAATTTTTTATGTTAATAAAGGATCATGTTAATATTATGTTAACAAAGGCCAAACAAATTCATGGAAGATTTAATTTAATTTCTCTTATAACACCATTAATTAACAAGTGAGTGGACAGAATAGGCCTAAA